GTGCTAGTGACACTCCCCTCTTGCTTGGGGTGATATAAAAAAAAAGTTACATAGAGATTGCAAAAACGGTACCTTTTAAGGTTATATCAACGGCCTTTTTTGTAGACTCCACACAACGTGTCATCAATGTCACATTGTAAGTTTGCTAATATGCTTTTCAGACTCTGTACACCATTTCGCACGTTGCAAAAATGCTGCCGTGTCGACTCACCACAGCATAAAAAGAAAAAAAAAAGAAAGAAATAGGAAAAAATTTAACAATTCAAACCGTAAGGAAATATACATAAACACGTTTATTGTACATGGATGAGAATTATATAACTATAAAAATTTTCAGTTATAAAGGGTGTTTCATTAAGCCGGATCAAAGCTAGCAGTAAATAAATCAGTATTATTGGGGAAAATATGTTTATTTCTCTATTGGATAATGTTATTTAAGTCATGGTAATTATGTGCGAAAAATAATATCGCCCAAATGTCCGCCAAATCTGAGAGAAAAAGAAAAAATCAGTATACGCTTAAACATAATTCACTTTAAAATCGGTTCAAGATATTGGAACACACATTATAGTGTATAAGATTTCTTTTCGTATTTTTTTCATTGAGAATCACTAATATAGGTGATGAAGGAAAGTTCTAAAATTTTCCTGGAATTTAGCCAAATATTATTTATGAGAGACGAAAGATATTTTGTTAAATTTTTCATTATAGATTCCTTCTTCTCACTCAGCTTTGGGTTAATGAGTAAGATTAATTGCGTCCGTTATATTTGCTAAGGCGCAAATAACCTTGAGAAAGATATGGCGTCATATCTTCTCACTCAGCTATGGGTTAATTAGTCCGTTATATTCACATAGGTGCAAATAACCTTGAGAAAGGTATGAATTCACATCTACTCTCTCGGCGATGTGTTAATTAGTAAGACCCATTGTATTCATTATATTAACTTAGGTGCAAATATCCTTGAGAATGGTATCAATTCACATCTTCTTTCTCGGCTATGTGTTAATTAGTAAGACCCATTGTATTCGTTATATTCACTTTAGGGGCAAAATAACCTTGAGAAAGGTATGAACTCACATCTTTTCTCTTTGTTAATTATGTTCACTTAGGTGCAAAAACTAATTAATGTATGAATAAGACCCATTATATTCGTTATATTCACTAAGTTGCAAATATCAGTGAGAAAGGTATAAATTCACATCTCTCGGCTATGTGTTAATTAGTAAGACCCCTTGTGCACGTCATATTCACTTAGGTGTAAATAACCTTGAGAAAGGTATGAACTCACATCTTTTCACTCGGCTATGTGTTAATTAGTAATACCATTGTGTCCGTCAAATTCACTTAGGTGCAAAAAACCTTGAGAAATGTATGAATTCACATCTTCTCACTCGGCTAAGCGTTAATTAGTAAGATTCATTGTGTTCGTTATATTCACTTAGGCGCAAATAACGTGAGAAACATATGAATTCACATGTTCCCACTCGGCTATGTGTTAATTAGTAAAGCCCATTGTATTCATTATATTAACTTAGGTGCAAATATCCCTGAGAAAGGTATCAATTCACACCTTCTTTCTCGGCTATGTGTTAATTAGTAAGACCCATTGTATTCGTTATATTCACTTAGGGGCAAATAACCTTGAGAAATGTATGAATTCACATCTTCTCACTCGGCTAAGCGTTAATTAGTAAGATTCATTGTGTTCGTTATATTCACTTAGGCGCAAATAACGTGAGAAACATATGAATTCACATGTTCCCACTCGGCTATGTGTTAATTAGTAAGACCCATTGTATTCATTATATTAACTTAGGTGCAAATATCCCTGAGAAAGGTATCAATTCACACCTTCTTTCTCGGCTATGTGTTAATTAGTAAGACCCATTGTATTCGTTATATTCACTTAGGGGCAAATAACCTTGAGAAATGTATGGATTGACATCTTCTCACTCGGCTATGTGTTAATTAGTAAGACCCATTGTATTCGTTATATACACTTTGATGCAAATACCCTTGAGAATGGTATGAATTCACATCTCTCGGCTATGTGTTAATTAGGAAGACCCATTGTGTTCCTTGCACTTAGGTGCAAATAACCTTGAGAAACGTATGAATTCACATCATTTCTCTCGTCTATCTGTTAAATATTAAGACTCATTGTATTCGTTATATTCACTTAGTTGCAAACATCCTTGAGAAACGTATGAATTCACATCTTCTCTCTCGGTTATATGTTAAATCGTAAGACATATTGTATTCGTTATATTCACTTCGGTGTAAATAATATTGAGAAAGCTACGAATTCACATCTTCTATTTCGGCTATATGTTAATTAGTAAGATCCATTGTGTTCGTTCTATTCACTTAGGCGCAAATAACTTTGAGAAATGTATGAATTCGCATCTTCTCTCTCGGTTAAGTGTTAATTAGTTAGACCCATTGTATTCGTTATATTCACATAAATGCAAATAACCTTCAGAAAGGTATGAATTCACATCTCTCTCGGCTATGTGTTAATTAGTAAGACCTATTGTGTTCATTCTATTCACTTAGGCGCAAATAACCTTGAGAAGTGTACGAATTCGCGTCTTCTGTCTCGGCTAAGTTTTAGTTAGTAAGAACCATTGTGTTCGTTATATTCAATTAGGTGCAAATAACCTTGAGAAATGTATGAATTCACATCTTCTCTCACGGCTATGTGTTAATTTGCAAGACACATTGGGTTCGTTATATTCACTTAAGTGCAAATAACCTTGAGAAAGCTAAGAATTCACATCTTCTCTCTCGGCTATGTTTTAATTAGTAAAACACATTGTGTTAGTAATATTCACTGAGGTGCAAATAAACTTGAGAAAGGTATGAATTCATATCTTCCCTCTCGGCTATGTGTTAAATAGTAAGACCCATTGTATTCGTTATATTCACTTACGTGCAAATACCCTTTAGAATGTTATGCATTCACATCTCTCGGCTATGTGTTAATTAGAAGACCCATTGTATTCGTTATATTCCCTTAGGTGCAAATACCCTTCAGAATGTTATGAATTCACATCTTCTCTCTCGGCTATGTTTTAATTAGTAAGACCCATTGTGTTCGTTATATTCACTTACGTACAAATAAACTTGAGAATGGTATGAATTCACATCTCTCGGCTATGTGTTAATTAGTAAGCCCCATTGTGTTCGTTATATTCACTTAGGTGCAAATAACCTTGAGAATGGTATGAATTCACATCTCTCGGCTATGTGTTAATTAGTAAGCCCCATTGTGTTCGTTATATACAATTAGGTGCAAATAACCTTGAGAAAGGTATGAATTCACATCTTCTCTCTCGGCTATGTGTTAATTAGTAAGACCCATTTTGTTCGTTATATTCACTTAAATGCACATAACCTTGAGAAAGGTAGGAATTCACATCTTCCCTCTCGGCTATGTGTTAATTAGTAAGACCCATTGTGCTCGTTATATTCACTTAGGTGCAAATAACTTTGAGAATGTTATGAATTCACATCTCTCGGCTATGTGTTAAATAGTAAGTCCCCTTGTGTTCGTTATATTCACTAAGGTTCAAATAACCTTGAGAAAGGTATGAATTCACATCTCTCGGCTTTTTGTTAATTGGTAAGACTCACTGTGTTCGTTATATTCCCTTCGGTGCAAATAACCTTGAGAAAGGTATGAATTCACACCTTCTCTCTCGGCTATATGTTATTTAGAAAGACCGATTGTGTTCGTTATATTCATTTAGGTGCAAATAACCTTGAGATATGTATGAATTCCTATCTTCTCTCTCGGCTATGTGTTAAATAGTAAGACCCATTGTGTTCGTTATATTCACTTAGGGGCAAATAACCTTGAGAAAGGCACGAATTCCCATCTTCTCTCGTCTATGTGTTAATTAATAAGACCCATTGTGTTCGTTATATTCACTTAATTGCAAATATCCTTGAGAAAGGAATGAATTCACATCTTCTCTCTCGGCTGTGTGTTAATTAGGAAGACCCATTGTATTCGTTATATTCACTTAGGTGCAAATAACCTTGAGAAAGGAAAGAATTCACATATTCTAACTCGCCTATGTTTTCATTAGTAAGACTCACCGCATTTTCCTTATATTCACATATGTTTAAATAACCTTAATAAAGCTATTGTTTCATTAGTCAGACTCATTGTGTTCGTTATATTTGCTTAAGTGTAAATAACCTTGAGAAAGGCATGAATCCACCTTTTCTATTGGTTAATTTTGTGACTTCTATCTCTAACCTATTATTATCTCCTAAAAAATAAAACAATTAAACTAAAAAAAATTCTTATAAGCTGAAAATATTTCCTGGTTTTCAATAACCTGTGAAAGGTTGATAAACCGTAGAAAATGGAACAATCAAGCAATAAAAAGAAATCATTTAATTCTGTATATCTGTAAAAGTCAGGGATTGATTTGATACTGTATGTATATTATAAACAGGACTCCGCCTTCGAAGTCGATAAAAAAACAATATTTTTTGATTCTGAGAAGTGTCGCCGTTTAAGGAAGTTCTAAATAATGCCAATATAGAAAATTACTTCCTAAAATTTTTCCCAATTTTTTTTAAAGCACCGGCCAGTTTATTTAAGTTGGTTGGAATGAATTGACTTGACTTAATGTCTTGATAGAAACACAGATAGTAAACAAAACATAAAATAACATATAAAACAATCAAATATTGATAAAGGTTGAACCATTTTGGTGAAAAATTCATCGATATTAATTTTGTATTATTTGGGTTCCTTTCTCTACCGAGATTGTAGTATGTTTATATGCATGTCAACAGTACGTTTTACGATCTGTGGAACGAAGGTATATCATGATGCCCTTGGGTGTGCAATGGCGGAAGGACAGAAGACAACGTCAGGAGAAATAATTGTTAAGCGAAAAGAGGATAGTTGGTAAAGGGGAAAAATTAAAGAGGGAATGTAAGAGTAGATGGAACGGGGGAGTGTGATATATTAGAAGTCAGGTGAGAGTGCGGAGAAGGATTAAAAACAAGGGGGAGGGGCAGTGAATGATAAGAGAGGGTGGAGAGATGTTTGGGCAGAAAGTAGACGCGGGAAGAGAGGACACGAATGAGAAAAAGAGCGGGAAAATGCAACCAACAGAGGGCGCTTTTGCGCTGCGCTATTCAAAGTCAGATAGAAATGAGAAATATTGAATTTCGGATCGATACCATGAAAAGCCAATCATTAAGGATGAAAGTCTGGGAGTTGATGGGGTATAGGTTTGCGGGTGAAGGGATGACGGGTGTGTTGGAGAAAATGGCGGGAAAGTAAAGCAGAATGCATAACGAAAGGTCAATGGAGATGAGAAACTACGAAAAGAACTGAAAGAATGTAATAGGGAGCGAGGGTACGGGTGTCTTGCTGCAAGATGGGGAAAGTGTGGTTGGATATGGGAGTGATAATGAATGAAATTGAATAGAAGAAGAAGAAGAAGAAGAAGAAGAAGAAGAAGAAGAAGAAGAAGAAGAAGAAGAAGAAATGGAATACTTTACACGAAAACACAGAAGACGAAATGAATGAGCAATAATAATAATAATAATAATAATAATAAGAAGAAGAAGAAGAAGAAGAAGATAATAAAAGAAATAAGATCAAATATAAAAGAAAGCAAACGAAAACAAAGAAATAAAGCGAAAGGAAGGAAAATAAATGAAAGGAAAAATAAGAAAGAAAAATAAAAAAAATACGGTGAATGAAAACGTAGGTGATCTGGGTGAAGTGGGGAGCTTGTTGGAAGATGCAAAGAGTGTGGTGGCGATGGAGTGCCATAATGAATGAAACTGAAAAGAAAAAGAAGAAAAAGAAGGAAAAGAAAATGAAGACAAAAATGGAATACTTCATAGAAACACAGAAGGTAAAATGAGGAATAATAATAATAATAAATAATAATAATAATAATAATAATAATAAAGAAGGAGGAGAAAAAAGAAAGAAGAAGAAAAATAAGATGATAATGAAAGAAAATAGATCAAAAGAAAGAAAGAAAATGAGAAACGAAGAAATAAAATGAAAATAAGTTAAATAAATGAAAGGAGAAATAGGAAAGAACAAAAAAGAAATACAGTGAGTGAAAACAGGAGAAATGAAAACAAAAAAGAGTACAAAAGTTAATAACTTAGAGAAAAAGGAAAGATATTTGAAGAAAAAGCTAAAGTAAAATATAATAAAAGAAAGGAAGAATTTTCGTGTGGGAAAGAAACGCCATAAAGAAATTAAATCGAGAAAAACAAAGAGAAGAAAACGAATAAAATATGAAAACTAGGACAAACGGAAATAAAACAAAAGAAGAAAGTGAAAAAAATTTTCTGAATTAAGAAGAAAAAAAAAGAATAAAAATAAAGCAAAAAGAAAGAGAAAAAGGAAAAGAAAAAAATGAAAGTCAAAGAAAAAGAAGTAAAAGAGTAAAAAGACTAGAAAGGAAAGGATGAAAAATTAAAATGGATGATACCTTAATGGGAAGACGATAAGAAAGGAAGAAAGGAAAAAAGGAAGAAAGAAAAAGAATATTAAATAAGCAAACAAATAAAGAAATAACTAAAGAATGAGTTAATATGGAAGAAAGAAAGAATAAGAAAGGAAAATATAGAAAGAAAGACGAAATATTAAGAATGAGAAAGCAAGAAAGAAAGAAAGAAAATTATAGAAAGAAAGACGGAAGAAAGTGAGAGTGAGATATAAACATATAATATAATAACAAAGAAAGAGAGAATAAGAAAGGAAGAATGAGATAATAAGAAAGAAAGAAAGAAAGAAAGAAAGAAAGAATAATATACAAAGAAAGAACGAAATAATATGCAAGAAAGTCAGGAATGAAGAAAGAAAGAAAGAAAGAAAGAAAGAGAATATAGAAAGAAAAATATAGAAAAGAAGACGAAAAAAGTGAGAATTAGAAATAAATAAGAAGGAAAGAAAGAAAGAGAATAAGCGAATAAGAAAGGATGAATTAGATAGAAAGAAAGAAAGAAAGAAAGAAAGAACGAAAGAAAATACTGTATCATATGCTTTTGTGTTGATTTTTGTGTTTACCGTTGATGACAAGCATCCATTCCATCAGGCCTTAATGGTATGAACGTTGGTTTTATTTTGGGACAGAACAGCTTCATCGATGACAGTCTGGCTTTGAGGAATTCTCTAAATAATGATTATAACGAGTTGAGCTTTTGAAAAGATGCACAAGAATGATGGACGTGAAAAGAACACATCTGTCCTAGTCTGTAAAAATTGAATGTAATACTGATTTTTATTTATTCATCTTAGCAACGTCTGACACAAGGCCATTCGTGAAACGCTTTGTGATTCGATTTCATTATAGCAGAAAATGTCTACGAGAATTGATTGCTAACCAATGTATTATGTGAAGTCGTTAAAAGTGGATAACGGTATTGCTAAAAAATAACTTCGCAAGGAACCAGCGCAAATAGCTGTGTAGGAGGATGGAGATGTGACTGTCATTCTAATTACAGACTACCTCGGTTTGACCTGGGTTCGAACACTGATCTTCAACACCGAAGAGTAATGCGCAACTATTTCAGCCACCAGATGGAAGTGAAATGACTAATTTGTTGACTTTAGTTTTGAACCGCTGTTCTTGAAATGCTTGGTCAGTGTCCTGATCTTGCAATTCCCGGAAGTTGTAAGAGTAAAGATCAAAAACACTCAGTGACAATAGCCTGCGTGATGAGCTTACAAATCACAGTACTAGGATTGGCGTCTTTATGAAGATATACTAAACATAGTCAAATTTAGTATAAAGCTACAAAAGAAAGGTATCCCATAAAGATCAAATCCATGAGCCATCTTCTAACCATTAAATTTTGAAAATAAACTGCTTAATGAAAATATGAAATGTATATATAATCTTTAATTAAAATTTCATTTATGTTACAAAGTCAGCTTATTGAACTTTATTCATTTATCCTTCCTTCCTTGATCATTGTCTGCTGGTTGTCATCAACATTGTGAAAATCGATCTCCAAATAGGATCATCTATATTATTTACATTATTCGGACTATTGTCCTCATCTTTGTCACCATATTTATCACAACGTTTCGGCCCTCTTCAGGTCGTTGGAATGTCGAACTGAACCCCTTATTTCGCTCACTGGGGTAGACTGTTCTTGTTCCACGTGCCATGTTTGATGGATGTCAGTTATCAGTTATATCCTGTTAATTTCCCTCTGCCTAAACCGAGTATTGAACTCACACTCTTTGGGTCCTGTCACTGGATCTAACCAACGCCTTTATGCACTGTGCCATCTGGATATGAATTTCTGGGTATTATAAACCTAATGTCTTCAGCAACCATTTTTACCAGTGCTCATATTGCAATTTTGCTGTTATCATTGCATGTTTTTACCAGAGAAATTAACAGGAGATAACTGATAGCTGACATCCATCAAACATGGCATGTGGAACTAAAACAGTCTACCCCAGTGAGCGAAATAAAGGGTTCAGTTCGACATTCTAACCATCTGAAGAAGGCCGGAGCGTACAAGGGCCGAAACGTTGTGATAAATATGGCGACAAAGATGAGGATAATAATCTGAATAATGTAAATAATGTACATAATATCTCATCTCAGAAATATAGACAGACTTTGAAGGATCATCTATATTGGTTAAAATCTATCAGGTTTTTGTTTTATATACGTATCTGCTCACTGTGTCTAACCAGGTGTGTACAGCTTTGTCACGGTGACTTCATGTCAGCACGGCCATTGACGGCTTTCGAACAGTGGCATCTAGCGAATTTTTCTCGGTAATGGGTTAACCCGCGTTTCCCTTGGTAATAGATTAACCCATGGTATGGTTTTCAAACACTTTCCAAAGGTTCCCACGCTGGGATCGTCTCCCTCGACCGATAAGCTTCATGAAGTCATCTTTTTGACAAATTGTCGGAAAGCAAACGTTTTGTCAAATCGAGCATGGTGAGATTCGAACCCGGTTCTCATGACTGGAATGCGAACAGTCTAACCACTAGGCTACGCGTTTGAAACGAAACTTGTTTTGAACTGGAAATAAAATGCAACGTAGATGAAATTCTAGTGTCATTCGAATGTGCTAAATAATATTTTACAAATATTCCTTGGTGTAATGGGGAAATGTGTATGCCCGCAGGTAACAAACTTACTAAGCTTGATTAATATATGTAACCACAATCCTTGGAAATCACATTACCTGTAAACTGATATTACTGTATAATTTCCATAAAGACCGTTTTTGTGAATATCTATTCATTACTTTTCTGTTTCGGTTGAAATTTTCGTTTTTTTCTTTGGTTTTTAGTCAGAGTTTCCACAGCACAGTTATTAACATATTATCTTATATGAAGGATTTTATATGGCATTTTTATGTTGTTTCTTTTTCAGAAGCGTCAGTTATTAAAATACCTTTTTTTATGACTTCGATTATTCCATAGATAGATAGATAGATAGATAGATAGATAGATAGATATTCAATATTAACAATATTAGAAGTCTCAAAATGGCAGAATGTGTGCAGTATGTGCATTTTCAGTTCAATACTGATTCTTATGTAATTTGATGAGTAGAATCACATGGTGTCAATTAAATTTAATTTTGAGCAATATTAATAACAATATTAGAAGCCTAATAATTGCAGATTTTGTGTGAGACTGAAATATATATATATATATATATATATATATATATATATATATATATATATATAAATATATATATATATATTCATATCTATCTATCTATCTATCTATCTATCTATCTATCTATCTATCTATCTCAGTCTTTTCATATCTATCTATCTATCTATAAATATATATATATAATAAATATATATATAAATATATACATATAATTATAGATAACTACACTCGTTTCGAAAAACCCTCAATTTTTTGATTTTCTAATAATCAAATCAATCTCGAGGGAAAAAAAGTTTTAAAAAAAAAAGAGCTACAAACATGAACTTCTGCCGACAAAAAAAAATCGCACAGATGCAGGTCTGAAGCCCAAAGAAAAACCCCGATACGAGTAACAACTAACTAACAAAAAGAGCTCAATACAACCGTAGAGCAGACCTAGATACACCTAGTGAGCCAGACAAACCTACCTAGGTTTCACCTAAACGGATCGTCAGGAAAGTAAGGGTCACTTTCCTGACGATCCGTTTAGGTGAAACCTAGGTAGGTTTGTCTGGCTCACTAAGTGTATCTATCTATCTATCTATCTATCTATCTATATATATATATATATATATATATATATATATATAGAGAGAGAGAGAGAGAGAGAAAGATAGATAGATAGATAGATATGAAGAGACTGTGATAGATAGATAGATAGATAGATAGATAGATAGATAGATAGATAGATGTTCGTTATAAATGTTAGTTTCTTACAAAGTTCATTGCATCCGAGTTGAACATCACCAATGGTGGAAAACGGAGCGATGTGATGTTAAACATGAAAAATATAACCAAGATGGTTGCCATCTGCAAACATGCACACGAACAAAAAGAGACGCTGAGAATTTTAAATATAAGAATAATTATTTCTTTTTCTTAAATCTTATTAGGTATAAAATCTCGTCGATTTCATTTAGACTAGTTTTCTCTTTGTTTATGTTTCCATTACTTACGTTACTAAATATCCCACATTATGAAAATGATCTATCAAGAATAGTGAAACACTACAGTATTTCACTATTCTTGATAGAACCTGGACATAAATTTACTGTGGATGATCTAGCAATTAGAACACATTCTGAACATTTTCGTCAGAGTTGTTTTCTCTTTCAATTAGAGTAGCAATTCTTTTAAATCAAAATAGTGGCTCGTCTATTTACGGAAAGTAACTAATGCACTTAATGTGTTGTTTTAACAGAGTAAACTCCCCCTTCAAGTTTTAGCATAATATTTTGTTTTGTATTAATTAAGTCTTTTATTGTTTTAAACGTTTTATATTTAGACATTTCTAGATTATATACATATAGTACATATTAAAAAATGATTTTAAATTTAAGATCGAATTAACGTAAACATAAACTTAGTCTGATGAAGTCTGGAAGAACGAAACACGTCACACGAAAACTTTTCCCTTTTTGTCATAGTTCTTTCCCTAATATATATATATATATATATATATATATATATATATATATATATATATATATATAAGCAAATATAGTCTAATATTAACTATGTTTTATGAATATGTCCTGAAGATGGTCTACTACACCGAAACGTCCGACGTTGACATTATATTAACATTAAAACAGCATAATTGCATATTAGGATATTTGTTTGTTTTTTTCCGTATATTTTCTTCATATATATATATATATATATATATATATATATATATATATATATATATATGTGTGTGTGTGTGTGTGTGTGTGTGTGTGTGTGTGTGTGATATAGGAATAAAGTGTCGCTGCCAAAACTTGAGTTTGAGCATAGGTCGCCAGGGAGTAAACACAGGTGATCCCATTATTGAATTAAGTAGACCACGTGACCATAGAAGAAATGCATATATGTAGGAAGTAGCTCGAAGAATAACGATCGCCATTTCTATTCTATCCTCTACAGATCGCTATTTTTTTCTACACTATTCACTATTCGGTGGTTGGTTTTGCAGTCGAGTCTTATCGAGCAATTACTATTAGTGTGAGTGTTATTCGAAGGCGTCTGACACCGGTATTGTTCAACGGCGTTAATAAGGTTGTATCTGCGATTACAAAGTCTCGACTACAACGAGCATTACGAAAGTGACAACGAGTATTCGTTGGCATCACAAAAGTGGCAACGAGTGTTCGTTGACATCACAATATATATATATATATATATATATATAGTACATGTAATAGATCCGTTGGTATATAATACGGGTAGATCCTAGTAATGTTAATTATTAAAACTGTTAGCCACCCAGAGTGGCTGACGGAAGCCGTTGAGGAACAGTTTGAAATAGTCTATTCAGATGTTAAGGTAATTTTTGTTTTTTTGTGTATATATATATATATATATATATATATATATATATATATATATATATATATATAATCCCTAAGGAGCCAGACAAACCTACCTGACGATCCATTTAGATGAACCTAGGTGGGTTTGCCTGGATCCTTAGGATTATCTTAGATTTTTTCTATTTCGTGTATTAGGCACTTTTACGTAGTTGCCTTTCTCTCGTTTTGGAGTTTTTTTCCTTTGGACTTTGAGCTTGAACTCTGGACGATTGTTTTCGCCTTAGTTTTATGTTCTTGGTTCTTATTTTTCTTATTCTTTATTTTTTCCTTGGGTACCGATTTGTTCTATTACGAACTATCAAGGTTTTTTTCCAAGCGAGTGCCACTATATATATATATATATATATATATATATATATATATATATATATATATATATAGTTGTATATTTAGGCAGCAATCCTTCCTTTATGCATGTTTCATTAAAAATGACAGACAAGGTACTACGGTTGAGCTTTTTTTTTAATTTTTCTTGTGTTCTGACAAGAGCTTTCTTTTCTGGACAAAGGGTGTGTAAGAACTGTCCGAATATTCTATATTTCCGAGCGCTTTCGGCCATACCGACTCCATTAGGAACATACTAGTAGAAAACACAAATATATTAACTGCATCCACTTGCAAAAAAAGACTAAAAATAATGGAAGCTCTAATAATAAAAAAGAAAAAGCCAACTCTTAACAATATTAACTATGAACAAAGCCACAATGTGCTAACCGTATTTGGAAATTAAAAACATCACTACCACACACTGAACATACACAGAACGCACACACTCTACTAAGCTGATAATCGAATCATCCTTGAGAATGGCTAAAGGTATAGCCGAAAGCGCTCGGAAATATAGAACATTTGGACAGTTCTTACACACCCTTTGTCCAGAAAAGAAAGCTCTTGTCAGAACACAAAAAAATTAAATAAAAATCTCAACCGTAGTACCTTGTCTGTCATTTTAATGAAACATGCATATATATATATATATATATATATATATATATATATATATATATATATATATATATATATATATATGTGTTTTCATATATATATATATTATCATTATCCACACTAGACCGACAAGCTTGCAGAGGTGATGAGGTCGCCTTACACACACACACACACACACACACAAACACACACATCACAGACATTAAAAAAAAAAACTAAAAGATAACATGCCCATAACACACATATCTTATTCTCCGCCACCAATAAAGCTGTCAAAATGTCTAAGGTGGGAATTCTGAGACTCATGGGCCCGCAAACTCTTCTTAAAAGAACTCGAAAAAGGCCTTTGACCAATAGAAGAATTAACGATAAATAAAATAACAAATGAAAATTTCTGAGACCTCTGTAGTTCACAGCTACTAACAAGCAGAAATTTTTTCTCCTGATGATGACCATACTGGCCGAAACTAGTCGGGTAAATTAATAAAAAAAAAAAAAAAATACAAAAATATTAATATACAACCCAGTGTGTCTGAAATTTTAATTTTCAACATTTTTTAATGTTCAAGACACACACACACACACACACACACATTTAGATATATATGTCAAAGATAAGACATACATATATATATATATATATATATATATATATATATATATGTCATATAGATAGAAATTCCAACGTATATCACCTGAAGATGGCCGGAGAGTACAACGGCCGAAACGTCGTAAATGTGGCAATGAAGATCAGGTCAACAGTCCGAACGAGGTAAATAGTATCATAAGAGAAGATGCATTTTATGCCTTTTTTTTATATCTCAGTATAAGTCAACTCTCCAAGTTTTTGTTCCCTCCGCTGTGGCAATATACTGAACTCACAACTCTGTAAATAATTACATTACCCCATCTGAGAAAAATAGACATATATTACTCTCATGAGTTACATGTTTATTATTTTGTAAGTATATATTATTTATTTATAAGCACAGTAATACAAATTTAATGTACAATCAGCTGGTTATAAAATCTGAAACTGTTTTTGTCGACACGACCGTAATTCTTTCCATATAAATCTTCATTACGGCTTATATTCAGGCCGTCGTCTAAAGTATTGGTTTGCCTTTGGCAAGCCAATACTTTAGACGACGGCCTCAGTTTTTTGGTGGGCATGTCTGTTATAAAATAAAAGACATATCTCGGCTGATTTGCAGGCAAATAAACTAACATACTCAAGAGCCAGAGCCGAATGTGAACGGGACTAGGCCCCGTCACAAAATAACCATTATCGTCATTTACACATAGGCCCGACGCACGAGTTCCGGTCGAAAAATAAAATAATATTTTAAAGTGTTTCTATTTTTCGACCAATAAAAATGTTTCCCTCCTAATTATACTCGCGTCGTTTTTCGAGCCTGTTAAGCCATAAAAAACGACATAGAAGGGGTCACACGGGGAAGTACTAGCAGAACAGGAGGCCAGGGAAGAGATCCGTCACGGTCAGTCTGGGCAGTCAGCAGGAGGAGCGCCACGCCAACCAGTGAGAACTACTATGAGAGATCGACCCAGATCGGCGGCCAGCTTATGAAATATACCACAAGGTAGCTGTTCCAAAAGCACATTCCTATTGAAATAAATCACGTAAATCTATTTCTGCTGTTGTATTTCTTTCTTGCAACCATACGCTTGTCTATAATATGTCCCAGTATCAAATCATGACCGCGACATATATGCCGGCTCGATTAATTTGTCATTTTTTTACGCCAACCTTCTACTCAACTCGTGGTCAGTGATGCCTTAATCTAGAAGCAAAAGTAACAAATTATAACATATTATTGAGGACCCGGGTGAAATACTTTCAAGTAAACTTGGGAAATCGAAAACTTACGATCAAGAAAATCTTAATGTTTACATTATTGCAGTAGGTGCGTGTTGAAATCATGTCAGAAAGTCACTTCTTGTCAGCAGTGGTTGACTAGCCAGGGTGTCTGCTTTCCCGATGGTAATTGGACCCCTGATCGAGTGGGCATACCATAACAAATAAAAATGCAATAAAAAAACAAGCATAGACAACTGTTTTCATAATAATAAAAAAAACAAAAACAGAAAGTACTTTATAAAATCATCTGTACACTATCAGTCAAATCCAATGTGAGAGGACATTTTCGAATATAAAGATCATAAAGACAAGGTGAAGCAATTTGCTGAGGAAAATTTGAAATCCTACATGTTGCTATCCATTGGAAAGTAATTATTAGATGGATTGGACGCAGAAGCAATTATTGACAGATTCGAACACTCATTTAGTGAACACAAATGATTGCTCTTAATATAGAGGACTGTGTACAATGCTGTGTTCTGCATTTTTTTTAACTATCTGTTAATCTGCAACTGTACAGACGATTATTTAAAAATATCAATCAATTACTTAAAATTAAATTTAATAAAAAAAAACAATTATAAAATTTTGTATTTATATTTGATATCTACTACACTGTAATTACTAAGAAATACACATTTTTTCCGCAAGAATTTTAATTGTACTCTTTCTTTCATATATATATTTTTTAAATTTTATATATTCGTTATGAAAATGAAATGATAGCATTGTATTTGTGGGTGGGCCCCTTTTGTCGGCTGGTAACCAATATTTTTAGATCCAGCCCGACACCATTTTTTAGATTAAAACAGTAACAACAATATTTTGCATACATAAAACAGGTATAGGAAAATTGATTGAGTTTCAACATGACTTTTTTTTTCTTTTTTTTTTGTATATAGAACTGAGAAACAAGAGCGAGAAAATACACAGTATGTATACGATAGAAAGAAGACCTTATAAATCCGGAATTGTGTGGGCAATATACATGTGTGCGGGCGGGCGCAAGAGCAGTGACAGACCTACATTTTTTGGGCCCTGGATCAAACTGCCAAAATGTAGCCTATGAATATCTTCTGGCTCAACAACACCCCTAAGAAAATATTGTAATTTGATCAATTACGACGGAATTTTGAGGCCATCTGAAATGGGTATACGACCATATTTTAAGGCTGCTTCAATCCATTGGCTTATGGTTCTATCACTAAAATGGCCTTGTTTTAATAGCAAACACTTAAAAAAAAAAACAGCGATTACACTTGAAAAATTCGCTCATTAAAAAAAAGATCCTTCAGGAGCCCCTCTGGAATTAGGGGCTCTGAAAAGCTTCATTAGTTTCATAACAAATCCGCCGCCCTCTCTCTCGCTCTCTCTCTCTCTTTCTCTCTCTCTCTCCCTCTCCCCCTCTCTCTCCCCCCTCTCTCTCTCTCTTTCTCTCTATCTGTGTGTGTGTGTGTGTGTGTGTGTGAAAAGGCTAAGTTACTAAAGGTAAAGATATCCCAACTCCCAGGGATCTCCCAGTTGGTGTTGTTACTTCTACCACTTCCTAGAAGGAAAAGATAGACAAGAGAGCGAAAACAGGAAGTGTCCCATTTTTAAGGGCATTTAACAGCGCCCTCTAACGACTTCTTGTCGTAACTGGCCAAGACATGTTGGGATAACTCACAGCATCTTGTGGAAGCTGCATCTTTAATTATTCATAGTTTCAGGTAACATTATATCAAGGCCGTTGTAAACTATAATTAGTTTAAAGTATTCACTACTGTTTCTATTTCTATTTCTAGTAGTTTCGTATTGAAGATTAGGATTTATTTAGCCTCCAGCTCTATCAACTGCTATTTACAAGATGGCGATTTGCATATGAATACACAAAGATCATTAAATCTATTTAAACATTTCGTTAGAATCATTTACGTCATAATTTTCTAGGTTTTACCTGCTTTAATCTATTACTTTGCTAATAAATAATGTAAGATTTAATATTTATTTGTAATTTTTCAATTTAGAGCTGCTTTATACCATATGTTATAAGCCTCAACTAACTTAATCTGGCCCTGTTTTTTGATTATACAACAAATATCCGTAATTACTCTGTCTTATCTATATAAATATGCATGCATGACATACGCTGACATGACGTTGAAAATGATGACTGGTGCCGCCTTATCTGCACACTCACACTGATGTAGGCCCTTATTTCAGTAAAAATGATATAGTATTAATATTGATGAGGGGACAGTGCAAAGATGATTTAGGAAATGTGTTATTGATGAAGATGGTGGCGCTGTCATGGCATTTGGTGGCGAGGAGAAACAGCGCTGCAAAAGGTGAAATAATGCCGAAGTGATGTGAGAACAAGACGGCACAGAATTGGCTTCTCTGGAAACGATTTAATGGCGACTTGGCGATAGAAGTGCTGGGTTTGGGGTCTGTGGGGCGCTCGGACATTGCTATAGTTGGCGGCCATCGTTTATAGCTTTCGTGGCGGGAAAATCGAGTTGGGTCAGAGTGGGGTGGTAGGAGTTGTGTGGCGGGAAATGGACGGGACTAAGGAAAGCTGGCAGGATAAGTCTACCATTGTTGTCGTTACCATGACAACACATCAATAGAAGCAATTATTTAGGTGTACGGAAAAAGGTGTATGAATACAATCAGCAATATCTATTCGTCCATACATGCCTGTACGCATGCACAAACATTTAGACAGAAACACATTTATTCGACTTTTTGTATATACATAGATGCATACATCGGACGTCTGCCACAGAATGATAGCGGGTTGGTCTCCCTATCAATAGGGAGATCGAACCACACTGCATTATGGCTTTGATCCAGAATCACTTAAGAAAATAGTACATAAACTAACATACACACACACACACACACACACACACACACACACACACACACACACACACACACACACACACACACATATATATATATATATATATATATATATATATATATATATATATACGTTTACAAACTTTGGGAGTGGGTCCCTCGCACCAAAACAAGGACAAAAGTCCATATAAATTTCTCCAAATAAATGCGTACTTCATTTTTGAGTCATTATGTTTAAAGAAAATTTATGTTTATATATATATATATATATATATATATATATATATATATATATATATATTTATATATATATACATATATGTGTGTGTGTGTGTGTGTGTGTGTGTGTGTGTGTGTGTTTGTATGCCACGTGCAACAGCAAAATTGTCCAAATCGTGTAACAGCATAATTGTCCAGTTGTTAGATTAAGTCCAGAATCGTTGTATCTTAGAAAAGATTCAATATATCTTACTGGAGTTCACCGAGATTTTTCTAACACTATTGGACTCTGAACAATAATAATGTATAATTACTCTCCAAGCTTAACGGACGAATCGTAATGAATTCGATCATAAACGAAAATGACATCTACAGCGTAAAATAATCATAGTTAAGGATCGGAAGCTCATGAATGATTGAAATAGAGTACAAATATATATATATATTATTCCAGAATCATTTTCCAACTTCTTCAAGATGATCTTTGCCCTCTCTAACCTTCTAATTTTCTGTCCTGGAGAAACAAGTTGTCTCACAGGTATCACGTACGATTTCATTTTCAAGTCCTTTTTAACTGTTGTTTGGATATAAAACCTGGAAAAAAGAAACCGCATTAGTTTAGTTGTTTTGTTAGATATTGGAGTGGCTAATTATGGTGTTACACGATTTGACCACTTTTGCTGTTACACCTGTAATGTACTATATATATATATATATATATATATATGTGTGTGTGTGTGTGTGTGTGTGTGTGTGTGTATTACTGCAAAATACAAAATTGCCTCAACATGAGATAATTTTGTTTTTTGCTGTAAAAACATATATGCTCTGTTATAATAAATACATTGAGCTCTCTGTGGATCAGTTTTATATTTTATATTACTAGGATCCACCTGAATTATATACCAAAGGGATCTATTGTACTAAATATATATATATATATATATATATATATATATATATATATATATATATATATGTGTGTGTGTGTGTTTGTGTGTGTTTGTGTGTGTTTGAGGATATAAAATTCAGGGGACTTTAAGAAATTAATAAAAGTACGTATCTATGAAGATACAAATGAACTCATACATTGATAATTTATCAAGTGCATTAGTCATCCACCGAAACAAGTTCAACCACAACTTTGATCTAAAAATGTCACACTTACTAAAAGAGAAACTAACTTAGACAGAAAGTTTTTGAGAGTGTTGTTATCGAATTTTATCAAAATATAAATCTGCCACCCGGATTTCTTTTTCACATATCTTCTTTCCTACATGAAATAGTCCTTTCCCAAACCAACATCAGTCAGTTTAGTGCCATACGTGGTACAGGCCTGTCCGATCCATGACTGACTAGGTAGAAGATTTTCCTACAGTAGGTGACCATTTCTTTCTGTGGTAAACTGGTTGCCAACCAACGCTATATGACCAAGTTTGTCCTGCTATTTAATCCATAGCAGGAGATATTAGATAGATTCGTAATAAATAGATAAATAATTTATCAAATCAAAATTATTAAGAAATAAGAAAATAAATCATTAATAACTGACAATAACAAAATTTAATCACTTTCGTTTATTAGGCATTAAATTATATCAATTAGCAGCTTCCATAATTTACCTTGACGTTCAAAGTTAACTTGAAGAATATTTACAAGCGTTCTTAAATTAAAAAAATTTGAAAACCTTACGATATTTTTACTTCCTATTAAAATACATGATGCAAAATAAAATCCATATATTTGCCTTGATAAAGTTCATAAGAGGACGATAAACGTCGGTAAAAAAAAGTTTTCTTATTATCATTATTCATATATATATATATATATATATATATATAGGCTGTCTATGAATGACTATATATATATATATATATATATATATATATATATATACGCACACACATATATATATACAAACTCTGCGAATGACTATATATATATATATATATACACACACACACACACATATATATATATATATATATATATATATATATATATGTATACGTGTTAGTTGGCAATAGAATCTAAACAAAAGTTGAGAAATGCGACACGAGAAAATATTTTTTGACAACGCCTTTCACCTTCAATTAGGAAAATATGTGTAAGTGTTTTTTGTTTTATTTTTTTTTATATTAAAACCATTAAATTCTGTTTACTCGACCGGCCTGCTCCGGATGGAATGAAAGAATAACGTAGTAAACAGACATTAGCTGTTTTAATAATAATAATAATAATAATTGATTATAAAAGGTTCGGATAAATTCATTGAATAAATTCCTGGTAGCCCATGCCTTAAAGAAATACAAAACATTACACACACAAGTACAGATCACACATTACAATGAGCTTTATCCATGTAAAATGTGTGAAGTTTTTGTTTGTTTTTTATAAAAATGATTAGTGGGAAATGTTATGAAACTATTTCTGACCTTAGCTTTCTTGGTTGCGACCCGGAAGGAAATCTCTATACAACAGAAATCAAAGGAATTAATAATAATAATATTAAAGAGATTTGTCTTTCATTCTGACCGCCTAACTACCTAACGAAAGCGAAACGTATAGTCAATAAAAAGATTTTGCACCGTCTTAATTCCGCACATGTACGCACGCACGCACACATACATACAAACACACACACACACATACACACACACATATGAAGAAAGAGAGAAAAAAATTATCATGGTTGACGCGTTTCGTAAGATAAATTTTGTCTTTACTCATATTGTCCTTTCGCAGATATATTCTATCTGAAATTTCACCCACACACCCACACACACACACACACACACACACACACATATATATATATATATATATATATAGAAAGAGAGAGAGAGAGAGAAAGAGAGAGAAAGAGAGAGAGAGAGAGAATTAATATAAGTAAAATGTTTGTTGCTTATCTTCAACATCCCGACTCCAGAGTTTCGTAGACGGACCCTATGGAATCACAAATCCACTCATCAGTGGTTATCAGTTATATATATATATATATATATATATATATATATATATATATATATATATATATATATATAAGGTATATTTAGTCAGAATGTATTCATCAAAAGAAGTCAAATCAAACTGACAAGGCCTGTCTTTAATATTTTATATTGTATTTTTCCATTTTTCGAATAAGTTAATGTATATTTGGATCGAAATTGATAATAAACAGATCGATATGACTAAGACGACCAAACTTCGCACAGTTTATCCACTATTTTGATCCCAATATAAAATACCCTATTCGAAAATTGAAAGTTGGAAAGATACAATAAAATATTAAACAAACATAGAGATCTTGTTGGTAGTATTTTTATTTTTTTCTATCAAACTTTGGATTTTGTCGCGAGTAGAGGAAATGAGGCCCCGAGCCCCAAAAAAAAAAAAAAATTTTTTCTTTATTCTTACTTATTTTTTAAATGTTGGAAAATATCCTTTCGGGAGAAGTACTTGGGGTGATTGAAGACTGTAATGCATCGTATTGATATGGGTACAGTACAAGAGCAGATACGGAGCTGAATTCAAGATGATACTGAAAATAACACATGCAAATGTTATGAGCCATTAGGCACAAAATTAACTGCTTTTATTGATGGACAAATAATTGAACAAAATGAATATATTTTGTGACATTAAAAGTCATAATCAATATTTGGCAATGTTCAACGTTCATGCAACGGTGTGTCAAAAGAACAGATATACCATTAGCACCGTTATTTCTGCACACACCTACGACTCCATTGGCAAAGTTTATTGTTTTAAAAAGCGATGATTAGAATTTTAATAAAAACCCAAAGCGTATGAAAATGGCTTTATGCATTTTCTTTATACTTGAGGATTGAAAACAGACATTAAACCCTATTTATTTATTAGATTACTTATTTACAAGAATAATTTTGTATTTACAAGATTATAAAAATATGTGAAGCAACTATAATGAAATATTTATTATTTTCCATTTTATAAAAGAAATAAATATGGAAAAAAATTTTATTATTCATAAATTTATAAAAATGTTTGTGAACAAGAAAATTTAAATAAATACATAATGACGTGTAACTCGTTAGAAATTTTGAAAAAATGGATTTTCCGGGCATTTATTTCATTTGCTCTCACCACATAAATTCCCTAAAATAGGTTGAGAGCATTTTTTCCTGTAATATATTTTGATAATTTTATAATTTTTCAATTTTTTAAAAAATTTCTTTTCAAATATATTTATTTATAAAATGGTAAATAATAAATTTTTATGAAAGGTAAATAATATTGCATTGGACTTGGTTTACATATTTTTATAATCTTATATATAAACGTTGTCGAGGGAGTCAAAAGTGTATACAGTAATAGCGGTGTCAAGGGAATAATCGACCTTTTGGCACACTGTTATTTTTA